AACCCCCCCCCCCCCCAAACCAGGAGGGGAGATTGGTTCATTGAAAACATCCCGCTGTGTACTAAAAAACAAGTTGAAACATAATATTAAAATTTAAAACGAAAACTTTTGTTGTTGAAGGTTCGAATGCACTGGCACTACATAATTAATATTGGAAGATGAACACTTAATTCAGGAGTGCAGAAAAATGAGTAGGCCCCTACCAGAGGCGTAGTGAGGGTGTTTGGCGCCCGGGGACAAGATTCGCGCCCGGGGACAAGATTCATTTTAAAGCGCCCCCTTTTCTTTATTTTCAACTCTCAAACCCATGATTTTTACCAATGATATAATAATCAAAGCACATTTTGGCGCCCCTAACTAGCTTGCGCCCGGGGACATCTGTCCCCCCCCTGCCCTCCCCTCGCTACGCCTCTGGCCCCTGCAGTTTAAAGTTAAAGGTAGACTTATCTGAATTAAGCGTCTCAGTCACACACAATTTTATTAACCTTAAAGGTGGGGGTGGGGAAGGAGGGAGTCACTGCCACTTTTCAATTTGCTGCCCGCTGCATTCAAAGTTGATAGCGTCACTATGCTTCCTTATCACTACCCACAACTTCAAGCCCCTTAAATATCAGCGCCCCCCCCCCCCCCCCCCCCCCCCCCCCCGCCCCCCTGCCCCCCCCCGCCCCCCTGCTCCGCTGGGTTCTCACCGCCCATGCACCGGACCTGGAAATCAAATAAGTGGTGAACTTCTCCTTAGATTAGACCAGTGGTTCTACACCCTCCCAATGCCTCAACTCTTTCACACAGGTCCTCATGTTGTGGTGACCTCCAACCATACAATTATGTCCGTTGCTACTGCATCAATAAATGTGTGTTCCGATGGTCTTAGGCGACCCCATGTGAATGATCAACCTTTGAATGCGGGCTGCACACAATCTGAAAGTGGTAGGTGGTAAGGGGGCCGGAGGGGACGGTACGCCCTAGGTGGCATTTTAAACATTTATATTGAGGTGCGGCAGCTTTGGCCAGCTGTAAGGTTTCCTGGGGAAAAGAAGAGGGGGGGGGCGCCGACAAAAAATTGGCCCTCTTCGGGTGGCACTAAACCTCCCTGCCATTGATGGCAGGGGGGCCTACAATAGTCACATGACACCTTTTGTGGACGCCTCTTGAGGGGTTGTGTGTGATTGTGGGGTGCGTGAAAGAAATAGGGATGGTGTTTATTTAAGAACCTCAAATAAACCAGTTAATCGATGTTTTAATGGATATAGGCAATAATTTACCAAACATTCAATTTAAACATGGGGGGGGGGTAGTGAGGGGCTTTGGTGGGGGAGGGGGCGATACCCATGACTTAAATAAATCTCAGATCCGCCTTGTTTGTAGATTATTTATAGCACATGAGAACCTGAATTCACAGAGAAAACAAGTAGCCGCATAACGCCACACTATGAATAATGAGTGAGTACGCAATGCGTGTGTAGGTGTGGGGTGGGGGTGGGGTGGGGTTAGGGAAAAGTCATCGAACTGACATGCTGAGATGCACGTGTTCATGAGAGTTTCCTTTTCGTATTTTTAGCCACTTCTTCAATTGGATTAAAAAAACAAACAAACAATTTGAGTGCGATTCTCCATGGATGGCGTGGAGCATTACACGCCAAAACCTTTCCACCTACCACATCCCTTCCTCTTTTCAGAGAACTGTCTGAAAGAAACGCTGGTCAATAATTTTTTTGACATATAGCACCTATAATATGAAGGCGTCCATATTTTGTGACTCATTTTTAGAGGGTGTGTGTGTGTGTGGGGGGGGGGATTTGCCTAATTAGATATAATCATTTATGAA